CCCCAAAACCCCAAAACCCCAAAACCCCAAAACCCCAAAACCCCAAAACCCCTTAAAACTTTTATAATATTGAGTTAGCAAAATGATGAAAGAAATGATTCACAATAATTATTCTCGTGGACCACATCAGAATAGAGGAAAGATCCAAACCAGGCGGGTTAACAGCCCTGGACAAGTATCCCCAAAAAGAAATCAGCGACAGATTGTTAAGACTGAAGGACCTATGAAACTCGGCTTTAATAGCAGCAGGGAAGCAGGAGAAACCCTGATTAAGCATGATAGCAAAAAGAAGACACAAGCTACATCTGGAAGAGGGATGAGTTTTGGTAACCCTCAAAGGAACAGTGGTTGGACCAAGATACTTAACAACATCACTGGCAAAGCTAAGGATTCTAGGATTCGTGGTCCAGTTCACAAGGCTAGTCCCTCACAGGTAAGTCCTAAAAACCCATTTTCTCCCTCAATGATGATATTGACGTAGGAGGCTTCTGCTAAAGTATATGTTGAATAAATGGTTTTGCCAGCTCCTTTCTGATTTAAAGCTCATAACTTTGTGAATTATTGACACAGAAATGGACAGTTTAGAATTGAGAGTTTGTTCAATATATTTTTGCTTATCTAGCACTTCTATTGACTTTAAAAGTTTGTCTATCCCTTAGAATTCTTTAAGTGGGTTCCTTCAACTTTAAATGAGTGTAACCGCAGTTCACTCTGTTTGATAAAGGCGTTACATATAGAGTTATTTTAAATTCAATAAGAATGAAACTGTATTTGTAACCTCCTGTGTCAACACCTTTCTTTAAACATTATTTTCTTTAATAAACCTGAAAATCATCTGATGGAGTTTTAGAAGGATTTGGCAATGTGAATTAGTCATAATTTTTTGTAATATCTTCTCCAAAAAAACTCATTAAAATTATTGAGGAATTGATAAGGCTCATGAGCTTCTTCTAAGAACTTATTTCACGATGCATGTAATTAGATGATCCCCAGATTCCTTGACATTAAATGCTAAGCTATTACGAATTTTCGAAATTATTCATCCAATTTTTTTAACATGTGAAAACTTATTGAGAAACACTCCTTACAATATTTAGAGCCCAATTTTATTTTGCGGTTTAAATTGAAGCTGACAATTTTCTTTTCTACTGGTGTGCCTGAGATTTTGTTTTATCGTATGATAATGCTAGATCAGATACCTGAGGCTCACTATTCCAATATTTATGAATACTCCAGATGTTTATATAAGAAGTATGAATAATTTCTATATAAAAGTAGACTGGTTACCAATCCTTGAGTTTTAACAAATTTTCAGTTGATACTTAAATACTCTAGGGAGCCAGAGATGATACTAAAGCAGGCTCTAAGGTTAATGATTTCCTCAAGTACATGATGGATGCTAATAGTAAGGGACCTGATGGTGAATACTTCAGTAAAATGTACCATAAATATCTGAAAGAGACCAAGAATTCCCATCCCCAGAAAAGATGAATTAGGTAATATTCTAAAGTACCTTTCTTAAATTTTGACCACATTCTACTGGAAAGGGATATACTCATTTTTTTAGGACCAAAGTAACCAGGATGGTCTCTAAATAAGTCTCCTAACGTTTCTTTCAACTTGAAGAAGAGAATTGGAAACCCAAAGAGAATTGGCCAAAAACCTCTGATAAATCTTACAAACACTCATATAAGTGGTCTGTCTCCAAAATAAACTGTTTTCTCCTACAAGAGGAACCAGGAATAGGAACATCACTAGCTTTGATGAGATTAAGATTACAATCAAGGACTTGAAGGTACATTTTAGCTGAACTAACCCTAACGGTTATAGAAAAAGAACATTGCTAACTTAAAAGGAGCTATGCAAAAGATCCGCCAGCAAAAGAGCAATTCAAAGGTTACCTTGATTCTTCTCATCTGTAGGCGGCCAACAAGACTATTCAGGCCAAATTAGATAAGAGTATGCTTCCAAATAGGAAAGTAAAATCTCCCATGATCAGACATAATGCATTGAGTCCAATAGTAGGCTACACAGACTCCGTAATTAAGGTAAATTTGATAAATTCATCTTTCAGAGTCCCCAAGGCAGTAATAGAAAGATCTGAAGCAGAAAGCAGAATAGTTCCACTATTAAAACTCATAAAAAGTAGACCTTAGAGTTAAAATCTAGGATAAAAATCATGAAAGAAGAGACTAAGCAGAGCAGATGATTCAGGAAGATTAAGTCCAGACTTAGGAGCAAGGCTAATGAAAACCATGCTAAAAAAAATAAAGAGAAGGAGAAACGCATGGAAAGTATGAAGAGAATTGCCACAATAGACAAAGACAGTAAGAAATTTATCAACAAAGAGCATTGAATAATACTTTTTATAGGATCTAGTATTCACTCCTCATTCTCAGAAAGGAGCGATGCGAAGATAAGCATTACTAGCCCAGTGGTTAAATCCAGAACCCCTCTTTTAGGAGGGAGGTTTAATAGGAGAAGTACTCTTCATCAAACTCCCTTCAAGTTGCTTTCTCCTTCACCTCTTCCACAAGTAGATGAAGAAGAGTAAGTCTCCCTGCTTCTATAAGCATATTAACCATATTTAGTTATAAGAAATCAAAGATTAAGAAAATGAAGACTAAGAATATCTCTAAAAATGACATCAACCCAATGAGAGCTTCTAAAATGAGTGAAGCCCAGCTCCGCAGAAGGATCACAAAGGTGTTGAAAAAGATCAATTTCGATACAGATAAAGATTTCTCAAAGGCGATTAAAAGGTCTTCTAGTCAAAGAGTAAGATCAATTTGAACAAGAAGTCTTCAAGAGTGAATATTCTCCAAATAGAAGATGCTCCATCCAAAGCTTGATAACATTCTTTCAAGTTATCACAGAAGGAGGAATCTGAAGATTAATACTTTATTAGCCCTTCCTCTTAGATTTATAAGATGAGAAGAGAGTTCCTTAGTACCAAGGTCTTCCTTTATATCTTGATGAAAGTCTAATACTAGCTATAGAAGAAAAGCATGCTCAAGAAGTCATTTACTGTAAGCTCCCGATAAGTATCTTGCTTAGAATAAGAAGCTCCAAAGGATAAACACGAAAATAAAGGAGATGATTGCTTACCAGAAGAGGAGAAGCTCTTTACCTGCATTCAAGATTAACAGTAAGCCACCTTCCTGTGCGGCCTTAATCCTACGTATAGTTATTTCTGCTGAAGGAGAGCTGTCTGATGCTGGAAGTTCCAAGTAAGTACCCCAATTTCCTCCTTTAAACCCCTGAAACTTGGCATTAACAAATGTTTAGAAACTTGTCAATGAAGTCTGTCAAGCTTAACCTCAGAAATGAGAAGCCGCGTTCTGAGAACAGATCTCGAGTGGATTTCTCTAAACTAGGGGATTTAAGTGAGAACATTACAGAAGGATCCAAAGAGAGCTCCAGTAGCACAGCTACATTTAATGATACTATTTCAGAGTTTAGGAAATCAGGCCAAGAAGGTGGTTCGATCTCTGAAGATTTGAACTAAATGGGCTTTTTGAGGGTTTATTGAATAAGATTTGAGTTCAGTAGGATTTTGGATTTTGGGGTTTTGGGGTTTTGGGGTTTTGGGGTTTTGGGGTTTTGGGG